ATATGGATGTGGAAAATATAATTGTGATTAATTCGGCATCAGTGAAAATGTACATCTGTTACTTATTTTGAAAAGCAGGAGGGGGGAAGAAAGCAACAAATTTTTTCTTTTTTTTGAGAGTATTCCATTAAGAGTTAAAAATGTTGAAGATGTTCTGTCACAAAGCTCCCCGCGATTCTGTAACTCTTGTTTTCCAGTCTGAGCTGTACAGGTGAAATGCCGCATCTCGCATTTTGTTTATGAGTAAACGGCTGTTGGGTGGCAGGCATTTTAAGCTAATAGCTGCTTTAAATAGCTGCAATTAGTGGGAAGCATGAGACATTTAATCACTCCAGACCAATTAGTCTGTAATCAAGTAGTGTCCAAGAGCGAGCACGTTTTTGTCCTCCACTGTTCCTCGGCAAGCGGCCGCCATATATTTCTCTGTGTGCTGGGAAGATCGGTGATTAACACGCGGGGATATAGGCCCCCGTGGAACGCTGTAATGTGGAGTTAAATCAGGGAGGGAGGGAGGCAAGACACGACAGCCAAACCTGTTATTGCAGTTTAACATATGCGGAAGGTTAATTCAAAGCAGAGATGGCGGCGCGCATCCTGGTTTTTATGTGTTTGCGTCACGGCGCGTTGTACAAATTTGTGGAATTAGGACTCGGTGTGTTTTCTTCTCTGTGGAAGCGCACTGGAAAATAAAAACAAGACATTCTACATTTTCATCAGTTCTTTTCTCCTGGATCAGTGATGGGAGTCTTACCTGGGAGGGGAGGATGAAAAGGGTGCAGAGCAAATGGGATTCAATCAGAAATAGGGAGTCTCAGAAATTGCTAAATCTCCCAAGTAAATTTTGGTTATATTTGCAATCTTCTGCAAGAAAGTTCATTTTAAGGCTGATCCAGAAATCTCCACTTCAGTAGCTCTTATATCAACCACACTTTCCAATTTCATTACTCTATATTGTGAAGGTTTTTACAGAGGGGGTTGTTCATATATCATTCATAGGCTGATTTATGGAACATTTATTACTAAAAACATTGTGGAAATTGATTTTTTTTAAATGGTTATTGACAGTAGGCCTACATTCCGATTTATGGAGTGATACAAAGAGATATCTATGTCCCTTTGTAAAAACCTTTGACAAAACAAAATGAAACAAAAATTCTGAACCTGACTTTACCGTTCAGATTTCTGTTCTGGAAATAAATTAAAATTAGAGCATATTTAATAATAGAATGCATGCAATGCATATTTAAACATTTTCTGAAAACTTTAACACAAAAAATAATGTATTTTTTAAGCTATACACCTGTAGTGTCTCCTCTTAATAAGACACAGGGAAACACACGCGTGCACAAGGAAGGAGAGCAATGCACACACACACCTGAGCAAACAGTCGGCTCCACTCGTAGCCACGGCCGGTCCTTTGTTTCGATAATAACGATGCTGTGCTCATAATGACGTTTCCGAGTGACTGGTCACAGGGCCGCCACATCCACTCCATCGGCCCTCTGGCTCCAGGGTGGAAAAAAACAGGTTGACCGGTGTGGTTTTGGGCCTCCTTATCAAACAGGATGTGATGCTTTCCCACGGTCTTAAGCAGGGAGGACGGAGGAGAGGCAGGCCACAGGTAGGAACTCAACGTGAATGTGTGTGTGCACCCCCCCGGGGTTTGCGTAGAGTTAAAAAAGGCAGAAAGAGCTGATGAAGCTTCTGTACAAGAAATAGCAAGACAGTGGGACTCGCAAGTCAACATATGGCTGCAGCAAAGTATAGAAGGAGCGGAGATGAATGATGTATCTGGGGATGACAGCCGTTTTGGGTGCTGACTAATAGAGAGAATTACACCCGCAGATCACGGAGCTGTATTAGAAGTGTGTTACTGTAACACTGAGGGAGAACATCATGTGATAGGATAAAATGTGCTGCGACATGTAAATATGAGCGTGGCTGGTTGGCTGCTGGATTAATGCCATGTGTCTTTGCCAGGAAGTGTCATATTTATGACATACTATAGAAATAAATGTGTTTATCGATTAATACGAAAATAGTTGTTCTGTTAACGGACTGTAAAAGAGCAGCAGGAATTCTGATTGTACGCGGGGCTAAAATGATCATGAGACGGATTGTTCTACAGTAGCTGTGTATGTCTTTAAGGAGACTACAGGCAGAAACATAATGCTTTCATGCGCTGGTTGCTTGTCTACTTTTGTCTCCTAAATTCACCAAAAGTTACCATAAGGCCTCATTTGCATATTTAAACATAACATTTCATAAAACTTGTAATGCAAAAAAGAATTGTCTTGTAAGTATTCAACTGTTTCATGTTGATATTTAGTAGTTATTTATTTTACCTTATTCATCTGTAGTGTCTTCAAAATGTCTGTAATTTTACAAAACATCTTTCAAGGCCGTTTTCTCTAAATGAGTTTTTTCTCAGACTCTGACGCAGAAATCTCTTCTTCAGCAGCTCTTACATCCACCAAACGTTCCACTCTCATTCCTCTCTATATTCTGAAGGTTAACACAGAGGCGTTTGTTCATATATCATTCACAGCCTGATTTATAGGCTATATATTTATATATATATATATATATATCTATATCTATATATCTTGTTAGCTCTAAAAACTTGGAGATAGCTGTTTACAGTATTTTCTGATTAATGGAGTAATACAAAGAGAAATCCAAAATTCCCTCTATTAAAACATTTGACTCTAATATTCAAACAAAATATAACAAGAATGTTGAACCTGTTTTTTCTTTGGAAGTTCATGCAAATTAGAACATATTTGATTAGAAAATGCCTTATTTGCATATGATCAAAATATAAAAATGATCTTAATGTAAATGATCAACTGGGGAAGTTTCTAGGTGATATCTGTTAATTACATGTTGTACCTGAACCCAAATTATATTATTATATTATTTTCAGTTCCGAAACCTTCATACCTGGAACACATCGCTCCATCATAATGTTTCAAGTTAAGGACTTACATCTGAATCTTATAGCTTCATTGTAACACCAGTTTATTGCCGACACCTTTGGTTGAAAAGTGACGAATTAAACGGCGTTGTGGATGAAAGTTATGTAAATGGTTTTATCTCTTTGTATCCATGAATGTATCTGCAAAACCTGTCATATTTCGGAAAGGCTGCATTCTCATGAACTCTCCGGCCTGCGTTGAGCTCTCTTACCGAGAACCAGAATATCTTTCATCATATCAGGAAGGTCTAACTGTCAAACTGGCCACCTGTGCCTCAACACATTATTTCAAATTTTTTTTTTCCATACCTTTTATCACTCTCTCAAATACACACGGACACACACACCTACACACACACAGACATATTTCACATCACAAGGACGGCGCTTGTCCAGGGCAGCGAGGCCCGGCTCTCTTTCTGTGGACTATAAACACACTCGTGTCTGCAAGCTCGTCCACGTCCAAACGGTAGCTTTAACCCACATTCAGCAGGGTGATGTGGGGACAGCTGAACAAGGGTCAGTGTGTCTGTGAGAGGAAGCTGCAGCTCCGTGGAGAGGAGAGCAACTAATAACTGTGAGATAGAGACATGTGTGGTTTAAAGACTGTTATTAATGACGGCTGTCTAGGTGAGCATTATTAAAGAAATGGTGTATCAGGATACATTTCAGAATAATTTGCTTTGGGAAATCAGGAAAATATTTGAACACGTATGTTTGGCCTTAATGAAGACGGATTTTGATTCTTCTTTTATTTTTAGCTTTCCAAACACTTGAAAAGCATCATAAACCATCAATATTATAATATGAACCAGTCTTTTTTTTATAAATCTTTGAAAACGTTCAACACCTCCAGCTGTTTCTACTGGAACACTCCCACAAACACGATGAGGCCTCAATTAAAAGTGTGAACAGGATTTTCAGTTGGATTTCCCTGGAACGATGACGTCGCCAGTTTGTATTTTGAACATTCCACTTCCTTACCAGGCATTTTCTTTTTCTAAGGGAGCGTGAGAACGCATCAGTAAATGCTGAGAATATGCTGTCTAGGAAGTGGTGTTTACTGTTTCATCTTTCCTCATCATAGGTCACTTTAGGACAAAAGTATCAGATGAATGCATGAACACTTAAAGTTCTCATGTACATTTAACCTGAATGCTGAGAACATTCCATTTGTCTCTTCATTCTGATGCATTCATTCAACCCAAAAAATGATTATTCTATTTGTGGCTCATGCTGCTTACATTCTACTTGAGGCCAATGAATAAAGGTAGGAAGTTAATCTCACGAATCACTCCGTCCATTGAGGCTGTTTTTATTGCTGCATTATTAAAATTATTATTATTTAAACCAAAGAAGACAGACATGATTGGCAGTTTGCTTTAATTTAGCTCAAATCAGACTTCTTGGCTGTCACTTATATTTCTATAATCCTGTGCTGAAGCTCATTTCCTGCACGCAACCTTAGATCTACTGACAGTCCCCAGATCTGGACTTCAAAACGAAAAGGCTTCTTCACTAAAGGCTGTCAAACTGGTTTAACTGCCAACAAGGGAGCTTCTTCATCCACCCTTCACTTTCCATGAAACTCACATGCTGCTTTATGTTCAGTTTGGTGAAGGGATGGGCGTTACCAAACTTTTTTTTAACTCAATACGATATCAATACTTTTTGTTGCAGTTACATGGGGTTTTTTCAAAATAATGATAATTTTGAGAAGGAAAAAAATAAAAGTAAAGTAAATACCTAGAAATCAGTCGAGTATTTTACAGAAGTATTTTGTAGGTTCTGATGTCACATTGGTTTCCACAGTCATGTGACACGAGCCAGCTCAATGTGTCAGGGCTATGCATGAAAGTCATGCACCACCCACGTTTGGATTTATATATTTTTATCGATATATTTTTTCAGTAATGGATACCAAAACACCTTCCTCACTATTTGATGGGACAGTGTCGGGACACCGAGAGCAATAAAAACCGAGCCGCCCCACCCTCGAGACAAAACTGGAGACGACACACAATTCTTCCTGGAAACTTTAATTGTTTTTGACAACTCCTCACAAGCCAGTGAAGGTCAAGTCCAACAGTGCAGCTGACAGTAATGTACAAGTGCCCTCTCACACTGGCAGGAGGGTGGTGAGGTAAAGTCGGCGTTCGATGTCACAATGAAAAATAAAAATCCTCTCTCTCTCTCTGCTTCATTTCACGTCTAAAGACACCGCCTGTCTGCTCGTTGTTCACGAGGAGTCTGTTAATGTTCACATATTTCATCAATTCATAACCAGAGTGATTTTCACGGCGTCAGTCATTAACTTCTCAAGGAGAAGCTGCGACCGCACGAAAAAAGGATCGGAGACGTTCTTTTAAAGAGGGGTTGCAAAACACTGCCACAAGTGCCGTAGCTCTCAAGATTTCTTTTTTGTTCTGAACAAAGAGAGCAATGTAACAGAATCAATAGAAGAAGAAAAAATCTAACAGCAGAGCGACCCTGGTGCTCCAGGCGGGTCAAAGTCGTCATAGTTAATGAGTACAAAACAATTCAAGTGAAAGCAAGAGTGGGCCGACTCATCAAAATAACTCGTGTTGAACTCCACCACGGACCTCTACAAGGGGGGGGGGGGGGGCTTCAGAGCACATTCAGCGTCTCCGCAGTGAGCCTGACATGCTACATATTCAACTATTCCAAAAAGAAAAAAGAAAACACTTCAAAGAGTAATAACTGATATATCATCATGTGAGGACATTATCGGCAGAGCATAACTGTCCACGAAGAGACTCAAAAGGTCGAAACACCATATTTACATAACGACAAACAAAAAAAAGGTTTTAATAAAAATATCTTATAATTACAATAGTCTATTTTGAGCATATACGTCTTCCTTCCACATACTTTTATAGAACATTTGTGTCTCTATATATGTACATTCTTAATCGTCTCGAATCGGAAATCCTTCTTCTTTACAATATCAAACATTTACAGCTCCAGGGGATTTGTGTTCAACACAAATCATCTATTTGAAACAATAGATGTCCAAAACTTGTACAACCATTTTCTTTTTTTAGCAGTTTAGTAAAGCTTTAAACTGGAGTCCTTTTAGCAATTCTTTAAGCACAATTCACAGTTTTCATCGCTGGTTTCCGGAAAAAAACTTCTTCGGCGTGGGGATTCCGTGTTCGCGCTCTAATTGGAGAAGATTTCAAGTGACGGTACAGGAGACTAGGAGAAGTCTACGTACTGACTCCCTTGCTCGATGGAACTAAACAAAAAAAAAAAAAGCTGAAATGACTGGTGATTTTATTTGGGTTGAACTCCTCCCGGCGTTTTATTATTATAATTTTTTTTCCAAATCCCCTTGTGATCGGTGCCTCCAGTTGGGTGTGAGTCCCTGGCGAAGCTTTGCTGGCTTTGGAGCGGCTCTGTGCGGCCTACACACCTGTGGAGGGGGATGAATAGCAGGGTGGGAAGAGAGGAGGAGGAGGAGGAGGAGGAGGAGGAGAGGGGGGGGGTGAGCTGCTGAGCTCCAGACTGACTGGCACCACCGACAAAACACAGGGCCATGCTTGATCAACAACCCAAAACAAACCAGGTCAAACAACAAGTGCAGGCTCCTCGGGGCTCTCACACACACACACACACACACACACACACACACACTGTATCACACGCCAAGCTTTTTTGGCCTTATCCAGGTGTGTTTAGACTCAATGCTATAAATCAGCAGCTTCAATGGGACTGAGAGGGACAGACAGAGTGAATGAGAGAGAGAGAGGAAGGAGTGTGTGTGTGTGTGAGAGAGAATGAAAGAGAGGGCAAGCTGAGGTTTTAACCCTCTCTTCTTGCTACACCGGTGACAGTTATTGCGCAAGAAGCACAGCTGCCTCTGAGGTCGGTGCCAATTTTCATGTGTTCCTCAATTATTATTGTTTCTTTTTTTGCTCTCTATAGAGACTGTCAATTTGCACCTCACATAGGCTACAATAATCAATGGGGATGGCTCCACTGATGTGGTGTCTCATGGGATCCCTGATTGTTTTTTGTTTTTTTTAAAGCCGAACTTCTGATTGTAAATTAAGAAAAAAAAACACATTTCAAATAATGAGGATGGTATTTTAATTCAACTTACCAGTGCGGTGTTTGTATCTCAGCGGCATAAAATAGAGTCCTCCGGCTTGTTGACTATTGACGTCCTCTACAAAAAGAAGGAGAAGAAGAAGAAGAAACGTGTCATTGGATAAAGACTAAATAAAGGGCCTAAATCCCCGCAGACTAAATGATATGCAGCAGAGCGGCGGCAATATCCCCCGTAATAAATGCGCTTATGAATAACAAATTGCCCTCATTGTGCGCAGTGGAGTGGGCTGCAGACTGGGGTACTTCACCAGCCCATGGGATAAGGTGGGCCTCTGACACAGTGCTGACATTATCATGCAAATTGTAAAAGCCCGCAATCAAGTGCGCAATCCAACCCACGCCAAATGCGTTTTTTTTACGCACGATTTTTTAAGGTTGCGCTGTGAGGTGTGTGCTATTTAGATTGGGTTTTTTTCATCCCCCACATTGAAAGGACAATGACACAAAACGGGCATGACGCGCTTTGTCTGCCTGGCGGTGTACGGGGGTCTGGCACGCAGCTATATCGGGGTCCCCGATAAAGTCCCCGTTGGAAAAACGAGGAGACGGTGGAGAGCCGCGTCCGCCGGTTTAAAGCTTACCTGGTGGTGGTCGACGTTGAGCGCCGTCAGCGGCGTGCGGCTCGGGTTGGAGGCCGGGGGAGGGCAAGTCCCGGTCCGCTGTGGCTGCTGTTTGTGGAGCGATGGGTGCGTCTCCAGGGCCAGCTGCAGGTCCAGGATGTAGTCTATGACGTGCTGGAGGATCTCCACTTTGCTGACTTTCTTATCCTGCGGAATGGTGGGCACCAGGCGCTTCAGCCGGCTGTAGCAGTCGTTCATGTCGTACTGCAGGCAGAAGAGGTCCTCATCCTCCACCCTGCACCGGGCGATGTTGAGGCTCTGCTTCGACAGATAGTGCAGCGAGAGCGGGCTGCCGCCGGAGGAGGAGTCCTGGGGGTGGACCGGAGTAACAGCCTTCATCTTAGAAAACCAACGGCTCAGAGACAGAGGCAACGAGGGGGAAAGAAATACGTCTCTGGTAGCAGGAACGATTTTTAGAGACAAAAAGCTTATGTGCATACAGCCGCAAATAAGCAAAGGGAATAAAAAAAACGACCGAAAGGCGGAATTGTAGTCTTGTCAACACATCCCGCGGAGCCGCACAGTTCCTCGTACTTCGTCAGGCTCGGTGTGAAAGGAGCGAATAGATTTCCTACATTTATAGAGGAGAGGGGAGGCGCCAAGCCCGACGGCTGACAGATCGAGGGAGAGGAGCTGGTCAATCACCGGCAGCCCGCTGCCCACCGACCCAACAACGGAGCCGAGAAAAAGGCGTGTCTCTGTGCGCGCTGCGGTGGGCTGCCTGTTGGCAGTAGGTGTGTGTGTGTGTGTGTGTGTGAGAGAGAGAGAGAGAGAGAG